TCTAATGAAATACAAAATAGGACTAGGGATGTGGCTCAGTGGTTGAGTGCCCCTGAGTTCAATCCCTGGTACTCCTCCCTACCCTCCCCCACCAAAAAAAGAAAAGAAAATTCAAGCATTGGGTTAGGGTTGTGGCTCAGCAGTAGAGTGCTTACCTGGCATGTGTGAGGCACTGGGTTCGATCCTCAGCATCACATAAAAATAAATGGATGAAATAAAGGTTTTGTGTCCATCTACAACTAAAAAAATATTTTTAAAAATCAAGGATTGCCTAAGGATCAAASGAAAAAGCACTAATCAGGCAACTACTATAAATATTGTGGGAAATAGACTACCAGATAAATTTCTCTCACACACACCCCCCACACACACTTTTTATAATAGGAATCACACTGCTACTAGGCAACCTGATACTTTCACTCAAAAATGTTTAATCCGTTTTAATTACTGTATTCAATGGTGTAGTGGGCCTCCGTTGTAGTGTTGGCCTTGTATATTCACTCTGATTGCTTCTGGGAAACTGCTACACTTGTGTTTCCGGAGGAAGCTTTCAGTCATAGTCTCACATCTTCCTCCAACAGCCCGTGGAGCAGCCCATTGATCTGACCTGGCTTAGCCATGGTACAAACAAGGTAAGTGAACAAGAAAAGTTTGCTGTCTGGCTACTTTCTCCTCCCACCCAGTCTCAGATTCATTTTGGGGATTTTCTACATTTAGATGGCCTATGACATCTAGTTATTTGGGGCCCATTTTCCTTATTCATATTCTCTTTTCAATTCCATGTTTTCCTTTTCCTTGATTGTTTTTAGTCTTGCTATTAGCTCCACTATGCTTGGTTAATTCAACTTTCTTCTGACAGTAAATTTCCAAATTCCACATTTATTTCTTGGCTGGGTATGGTGGCACACACGTGTAATCCCAGCAACTTGGGAGGCTTAGGCAGGAGGATCACAAGTTTGAGGCCAGCCTCAGCAATTTAGGGAGGCTCTCAGCAACTTAGCAAGACCCTGTCTCAAAATAAAAAATAAAAAGGACTGGGGATGTAGCTCAGTGGTTATATACCCCTGAGTTCAATACCGAGGAATAAAAAAAAAAATTGCCCATATTTACTTGACATTTGAGTTACACCAGCAGCCAGCTCTAGTATAGGCATCCTGTGCCAGTCTCCTCTACAACAACAGATCCATTCCTATAACTCTGTGATCCTGAGGATCATTGCTTTTCATAAATACCTCCTCTTTAAGACTTTTGTAATGAAAATGCTGGGTGGGGAATCAATTCTGATAGTGTCTCCTCCAAAGGCATACAGCTATCATAGTTCTTTTGAAACCAACGATAAATAGGCAACCCATCATTACTTCATTCATTTATTTAAGCTAGTAGATTTCCAGATACTTTTAAGAAGGGCTCAAAGATGAGTGAAATAAGATAGTTTCCCTTGGTAAGTTCACAGTTCAGTCATGTAGACAGCCAGATATGTAAGCATATATTTATAGTAAGCAACACAATTTTATAAATACATATATATAAAAATATTTTCTCAGCAAAAAATGTGTACCAAAAAGACAAAGATCAAAAGTTAGCATTTTGTTTATCTGTATTTTCAGGAATTTTCTCTCAATGTATGTGCATGTGTGGGTGTGTCTATAGGTTTTTTTCCCACCAGTACTTGGGATTGAATATAGGGTCTTTCACATGTTACACAAGTGCTATTTTTTAAAATAAGGAGGAAAGAAGCATTTACAAAAAGCAACATAATGGAATACATACTATATTGAAAGTATACACACTATCCCAAGGAAGCAATTAACTTTTCTGGGGAAGTTAAAGCAAACCTTGCACTTCTTCAGTCTTGCACTTCTATGTATTTCTCACATGCCAACCAAATGCAATGCATGGCCTTGTTTAGATCCTGGTCCAAGCAAACCAACTGTAAAAATATTTGTAAGGAAAGTGGGGAAATTTAAACTCTGACAGGATATTTGATGATACTAAGGCAGTATTATTCTTATGAGATATGTTAAAGGTATTACAATAATGTTGGAAAAAATAACCCTTATCTTTTACATAAACATACTGACACATTGATGGATGAAATGACATGCCCTCTGGGCTTTTCTGAGTAAATAATTCATTGGGAGTATGAAGTGCCTCRGTATATAAAATGAGTGGACATGGATCAATGATTATTGAAGTTGGGTAATAGATTCATGGGTACATATTTCAAGATTTTATCTTCCTTTGCGTTTGAAATTTTATGTAATAAAATATGCAATAATTATTAATAATTTTTCTATAATAAACAAAAAACATCTTTTAAATGTATCTTCAAGTCTCAGCTCAGAAGGCATCTTCCCAACAGCAATAAGCACATAACAGTTGATCTACTTGTGTGTTGACAAGAACATAAGCAACATTGACAGACTCACTGAGCATTCTACACTATTTCGAAATCATTTGATCTGTGTCAATGCACTCATCTTGTAATTTTCAATTTTTAAAATGTTATTTAATGTCTATAGTGTACTTATATATAAGAATAAAACATTTTAATCTTTTATCATTTATACATGAGCCATCTTCTTTTTGAAAGAAATCCAACATTTAGATTCCATCTGAACTTTGCACATGTAATTGAGTATTTGTTCACTTATATTTAAAGAAGATCAGCGTGTTGCCCATGAAACCTATTTACTAAACAGGTGTKGTTATAAACACAATATTTTCTCTAATAGGTTATAAGACCAGCAGATATCAACATTTTAATTGTCTGTACACCAAGCATCTATCTATATCTGGTACATTTCAAAAGCTCAATAAATATCTGTTAAATGTATGAATGAATAAATGAAATTTGGCTTGACTCCATTTATAGATTTATACTAAGTCCAGTGGGATAACCTTTAAGACTAAAGAATGTAAACTAAATCAAGCTTCTTAGTTTACTCAGTTCTTCACAATCCATTTAATCAAAAACATAACATTCCCAAATTAAGTGTCAATTTAACATAATCACTTTAGCCCAAATAGCAAAGAAAAATGAAGTATCCTTTTTCTTTGGGGGATAAGAAATGAAAGACTTAATAGCCATCACTTATCTTCATTCTGCTCCTGAGTCTCCCAGTTGCAAATATAGAGTAGGGGAGAGGTGAGTCAGGAGTGGGACAAGGATAGAGGAAGACTAAGAGATTGTCAGTGACAGAGTAAGTCTCAGATTTAGTAAATAACTATTTTACATAATATTGGATGCTATTTCTTTTGGTGGCAACATTTCTTTCAGTTGCCACMAAAAAAAAAAAAATCTTCTGAAAACATTTCATGACATTTTTTTTAGGCTGTGTCAAAAATCTCAGCATCAAAATGACTTGTTCAAAACATGTACCCATTTGGTCTCCACAATAACAGTGGGAGGTAAACAGCCTATATTTCCATTTTTTAAAATATTTTTTAGTTGTCAATGGACCTTTATTTTATTTATTGATATGTGTAAGTACACTGTAGACACGGTGCTGAGAATTGTACCCGGTGCCTCAGGTATGCTAGGCAAGCTCTCTGCCACTGAGTCACAACCCTACATTTCCATTTTAAAGAAGAAGAAACCAAGGAAATTTGCCCTTTACTTAGCTGGGATTTTAAAATATGGCCTAATTTTTAAGAATGCAGTATACTAGGATAATAATATTATGTTATTACTGTGAAAAAAGAGCTATTTGATGTAACCATTAGATTTAGTAGTATTCCATAACTCCCAAAATAAGTACAATTTTTATGTGTTAATTAAAAAAAAGATTCACATGGAAATTTTAAAAAGCAGTACTTTTTAGATTCTTTAAGAAAATATTTGAATGACCTCCAAACTCAAAAACCTCCAAAATGAAGGAGATTTGTTTGTCAGCTTGGTTGTTTGTTTGTTTTTAGGTACTTGAATAACTAACTTGCTCCTTGAAAAGCAGGGGTACAGAAATCAAAGGCTTGATTGTGCTGAATCCTTCTCTTTGGTCATTATTCACACGGGTTCCCAGCAAGCCATGGCTCAAAGGAAAGGATCCAAGTTCTGTTTAAAAAATTAGAGACTACAGAGCTTGCTCAGCACCCTGCTCACATTATGTTGCTTGTATTCATTACTTAAAACTCTTTGGATTTCTCCTTGTATGCAATAATCATAGGCTTCTGGGACTAGTCTCAGAATATAGGAAGCACCTCTAGACTTATGGTGAAAAACGCTTTTCATGGATGCCCCTTCTCTTCAAAAACCCCCTTGAACAGCAAAGTCCACAGGCATAATTGAGACCTGCAACCTGGGGAAGAATTTTACAGAAGTGCAGTTTTTGTTGTTGCTGTTTTGTTTTTCTCCCTCTTGGTTGGGGAAAGGAGAATAAAACTGGCCCATTGCTGCTCATCTACTCAGGAATGGACAGGCAATGATTTATTGTTTTAGCATCAGGAAGAGTGAGAACGTTTTGCAGTAATCTGACTACTGATTTTTCCTTCAACATCGGAAAGTTCCTTGAATTTCCCAAGACTCCACCAGGGGCTGAGGACGTAGCTCAGGGGTAGAGTATTTGCCTAGCATGCACAAGGCCCTGAGTGGGATCCCCAGCACTATAAGAAAAATGAAATTAAGATAAGACTGTGGCGCTAAGACCAAGAACATCCAAGAGTTGTTCGGTATGTCAACACAAGTCACGAAAGGCAGGGCTTTTCTAAGGACAATAGAATTATATCTACCTTTTGATACAGTAGGTGAAACGGAAAGAAGAGATTCTGGAGCAGTTATACCAGAAGAAGAATCCCAAAGCAAAACTCTTTTGCCGAAGGTGATCTAACTCTCCTTGGCAGGTGCACGGGTGGAGAAGGCATTTAGTCCTTGAAGTGAGGTTACATGGAAGGTTACGACAGTGATGTCAAGCTTACAGCAATCCGGCTATTCCTGGGCGCACAAGCACCCCCAGGACTGCGGCACAGAAAATACGCTAGCGGGTCTTTCGCCCCTCCCCCGCTCCACTCCCGAGGCACTGGAGTAGCCCCGGAGTCGCTGACGCCWTCCCTTCCCGCCTCTGGCTTGCATGGAGCATGCGCTTCCTCCCTCACTTCCTTTCCGGGAGGGAGCCGGAGTAAAGCTACGCCCTAGCCGACCCGCGGCTGGCCCCGCGTCACAGGAACTTCAGCACCCACGAGCGGACAGCGCTCTCTTCCACCTGGAGACCCGGCTCCCGAGCGCCCGAGTCCGTCAATTCCCTTCACTCCGAGCGACGCCGAGCTCCCCAGGCCTCCGGTCCCTGCCACTCTCCCTCCCCGCACCCGCCCGCCCTCTTGGCCCTTCCAGCTTTTTACTCCTCTTTTCATTCATAACAAAAGCTCCAGCTCCGGGAGCCTGGTGCCAGGCTGTTTCTGAAGCCAAGAGTGGAAGAATGGGGTTCCTTTGGACCGGCACTTGGATTCTGGTGTTGGTGCTCCACAGCACCCTAATTCAAGCTTTCCCCACACTGGGAGGCAGCCAAGGTATGTGTGGACACTTTCCTTCTTCCCACCTTCCTTTCATTTCGCCACGAAAAGATAAAGCCTGGTATGATCCGAGAGCTGTAAATCACCCTGCTTCGTTTTCTGATCAAATCATATCCGTGCATGTTGACAGGCAAGTCAGTTTGAATTTAGAACCAAACGGAAGACAGATTTACCACCATCCACTTTATTTTGAAAGAGAGATTTTGAAATAATATGGGTGTTTTAAAAGATGTTATTTTCAAAGTGGGAGGAGGGAGTAGCTTTTCCACCTAAAGTGGCTTTTTGTTTGTTTGTTGTTTTACAACTCTTTTCAGATACTCTATTCATAACAGGTGCAGTATATGATGAAAGAGCTTTTAATATGCCAATAATGCCAATCCAAATTATGCCYTCTCTAGTTGAGAAAAGCTGGGAAGCCAAGTGTCAGAACTATGTGTTAAATTTCTGATGGGGGTGGGAGGGAGTGTGATTCCCTTAACTCAGGAAATAATACCAAGATCATAAACAAGGAAATATTGATATTTGTTGTCTTATATTATTTGTTCACATATATTGTTTCGGTCATCCAGAAATGTTTTCCTAATATTTGTTATTTTCTTTTTTAAAAGATTTTTTAAAAAATATTTTATTAGTTGTTGGTGGCCCTTTATTTATTTTTTTATGTGGTGCTGAGAATCAAACCCAGTGTCTCACACATGCTAGGTAAGCGCTCTACCACTGAGCTACAACCCCAGCTTTAAAAAAGATTTTAATGAGAAATGTATTTTCTCTTTCCAATGCACAATTAAATTTATATTTGTGTGTGTTTATTCTAGACAAATCTCTACATAATAGAGAATTAAGTGCAGAAAGACCTTTGAATGAACAGGTAGGTCAGAAGCAAAATTATAAATGCCAGTTCATTTTGCTTTAGTTATTTGTTGTTGTTGTTGTTTACAGACATCTGGCGTTTAATAGTAAATTGGTAGAAATAAGGATGGGAAATCTAGTTTTTGATAATTTCTATGCTCTAACAGTTAATTACATTGAGTTCTGTATAATACATAAAACTGACTATCCAAGAACCCAGTAAGTTCAACATCATATCCACCCGATTGTAAGATTGCTTAATTTACCAGAGTTCTTTCACAAATATTATAGGAGAAAGAAATCACATTTATAGAGTTTCTGCCCATTATCTCATTTATACCTGTAACAATGCTTTGAGATAGGAATTATTATCTACATTTCACAAACAAGAAAACTAAATTCCATGGGGATTAAATCGTTTGGCTCTTGGTAAGTAGTGAAGCATTGATTTTAAACTAAGTCTGTCTCCTGTTTGTTTCACAGATTGCTGAAGCAGAGGCAGACAAGATTAAAAAAACGTACCCTCCAGGTAAAAAGAAATTATATTGATGTTAATTTAAATAACGTGAACTATCAGAATATGAATTAAAATGGATGTGTTGGGCTTGGGATTTTTCTTCCAGAAAACAAGCCAGGTGATAGCAATTACTCTTTTGTTGATAACTTGAACCTGCTAAAGGCARTAACAGAAAAGGAAAAGACTGAGAAAGAAAGACAATCTGTAAGAAGTTCCTCATTTGATAACAAATTGAATGTGGAAGATGTTGATTCAACCAAGAATCGAAAATTGATTGATGATTATGATTCTACTAAGAGCGGATTGGATCATAAATTTCAAGGTAAATGATGAAAAAGAACTTATTTTCTCTGGTTTGAAGTTTCCTATTTGATTAAGAAGTTCTATATCTTTAAAAACATCTCTTATACTTTCATAATCTTTTAATAGTCAAATTTAATACTGGTAGATGAAGCTCAGATTTGCTGATAATGTGCAAAGTCCCCACTTCACAGAGTCCCAAATTTTACTCTTACTTTAAAGGTTCCATTAGGGATGCCTTGAAAAAAATAATAAAATCAATATATCTATGTTTTATGTTGAATTCATTTACCATTTCATTTAGTTTAACAATTTGTACAAACAAAATTATCAAAAATTGTCAAATAATTAGATCAATAAAATATCTCCCATACTTAGAATATATTATATATATTATACCTCCTGTAGGATATTTATTGAAATACCCACTGTTTTCTTTTTAATATTCTCCTAGGTATGTCCTTTCTCCTTTGATCATCCTAACCTTTCTGTAGCTTCATGTACTGTTTATGTATTCTGATGTGCCAAACCACTACTTCAGACTTCTTTGAGCTATAGGCTTACTTGTCTGCTTACCTTAACATCTTGCTTGGAATTTTCAAAAGCACTTAGAACTTAACATGTCCAGAATTGAACTATAGATCAGTGTCTACCTCACAAGACCTTTTAGAGTGATCTTTGCTGCTATTCAGAAATCTAGAATTAAACAATTTATCTCTTCCCCACCTCTCAAATTCTGGTCTATCAAATTTGATTTTCACTTCCCATGTATCTCTCAATTTTATTTTCTTGCACTAGGGATTGGATCGAGGGGTGCTTTACCACTGAGCTACATCCTCAGCCCTTTTTATTTTTGATTTTGAGATAGGGTCTCCCTAAGCTGTTAAGGCTGGCGTCAAACTTGCAATCCTCCTGCCTCAGCCTCCCAAATTGCTGGAATTATAGGTATATACCACCGCATCTGGCTTCAATCTGTTCTTGATGTGGCAACTAGATACAGTATTCTTTTCAACACACAAATTAGGGGTTTTCATAAAACCCTTTAATAGATTCCCATTTCTCTTAGTATAAAAACCAAAATCCTTAATGTGGCTTCCACAGTCTGCATAGACTGGTTCCTGTGTACATTTCTAGGTTCATCCAACACACATAATCTAATAGAAACTTTGTTAACTTTCCTTCAGGCAGTTTGTAATTTTACATTCATAAGTGTAACTACCTATGATAAATGTCTTTCTCCAAAACTAAACTGAAAATTTTACATTATAACCCCAGTACCTAAATGCTCATGAATTCATTGAATGAATTTATGAATAAATGATTGAGCAAAAGAATACAAGAGGGAATAAATGAATTGCTATACYTAGGCATTGAGGAAGAGAATGTGTTCTCCATTCTGCAGACCAATGATTAGGAGTGAGTACAAGCTTTCTATGTCCCTATTTTGCTCCATAGCAACAAAAGAATCATGCTGATTATCTCTGCCAGAAAACAACTGTCAGTTAAATCTGACTTTCAGAGGACACCACAGCCTGAGGGAAGTTCAGAAGTATGTTGTGCTTGTGGGATATAGAATGGAGGCGATGGCTTATATTTTGCCACATATCAATCTGTRCTAGTTGGGGAAATTTTAAAATCTTGAATGTTATTTTTTAACCTAAAATATTTGGACTAGAAATAGACATTGGCATAACTGCACAAAATAGATTTGATCCTTTTGACTGGTTTAACAAAACAAACAACAACAAAAAAAAACAGTCTAATGTTTGACTGGTTGTATGAGCAAGCAGAGACATAAATATGTTTGTAACTTGACAACCCATTTTTAAATTGTCTGGCATTATAGTACCATCTCAAGTGAGTTTAGAACTACCAAGTGCCATCCCTGATAGCTTTATTTGTACCCATGGGATCATTTTACCTCTCCTTGAGATCACAAAGAAGCCAAACCAAAGATTTTGCAGAGAATATTTTATGGGTAAACTTCTTGTTTCTCTTAATATCTTGAAAATCCCAGACCTAGAGGGTTTAGAACCACCAAGATGAATAGGACATTGGAAGCATGCAGATTTGTCCCRGAAGACAGGGCGAAGGAGACTAATTTGGGCAGTATATGTTCCCAAATCTAATAATGCATTTAGGAATCCACCAGATAGGCTTGTGCTATAGGCTTGTTCTATAATACATGTGATTCAGGATTTTTCCAAGTCCCTCATGTGGTAGTGCCTTAGGGCTCCTGTGTGCATTCACCTAACAAATATTTATCATGTAATTTCTCTGTTTCAGATAATGAACTAGATAATAAGCTTTGTGCAATCAGAGACCATGACTAACCAATCCATTTCTATTTTCAATGGCTGACATATACTAAGACTTTAAAAACTTTATTGAACAAATGAATGTCAAATATTATATTAGATGCAAAGGTTTCAAAACATAACTGGACAGTTGATGACTTGGGACATGGCCCTTTGACATCCACTCAGAATGTTGTGACTCCTTAATAAAAGGTTTAAATTTTGAATCCATGTTTGACTTCCTTCTGAGGGTCTCTATAGAGAGGGTGGACTTTCCCTCCATGAGCAGCAGGGAAGTCATTATGACTGATTCTGTCCATTTCAGAAGAGCCAAGGGAAATCAATGTCAGGTAGGGGTTAGTGGCCAAGTGCTCTGTTATTAACCCCATCTAGCAAAGCTCTGCCGTGGGAGACCTATGTCCCTGGGATCAGCATATGCAGCAGTGCCGCAGAGGAAAGAGGATATTTCTTCAGTGAGTTACTAACATTCTCCCTGCTGTGAAGTAAATGAACTGAAAAACAGTCATCTCAGTTATTTTCCAGCTCCAGCAGGCAACCAGGGCTCTTCCTTTTTGAGATCCTCAGGGATGAGTGAGAAGGGAAATAAATTCTTCCACCTCTGCAGACTGGGGCAGACTATATTCCCAAGAGCCTAACTTGCAGCTCACAAATGGAAAACTCAGACCTAAATAACAGTCTGTACTCCTGAAAAATAGATGATGAACCCGATTTCCTTTCAAGCAGTAGGGGAACTGATTTTATGGGGTTTTTGTTGTTGTTTTAATTTTTTTTCCTGAAGGGCTTTTTTACTCCTTTGTCACTCTGGTACTCAGGGCTAACAGGGCACATAGCTCACAGGCTGGTCAACAGCTCAGCAGTTATATACTGACAGAAAACTTTAGTCCTCCATGTGTAATCACCCCACTTATTTTCCTAAGTTTCTTTTCAAACAAGAAGATATTCTTCCTGCGGCTATATATATCACCATAGAGTCTCGGAAGAAAGGTCATGAGAGAAATTCCTTATCCAAATTCTCAAAGCCATGGAAGAAAAGGGAAGAATCAGAGCAGAAATTCTAGGTTGTTATTTCTTTGAAAGAATATGATGAGGATTATTTGGGCAGAATCTGGCCAGGGATTCAATTTCCATTTTCTTTAGAAGATAATTGTAGTTCCTTTATTTCAAAATCCAAATCCACTGTACACAATTACAATAATCCATTCACTTTCGTATAGTACTTTGTGATTTAAAAAGTGCTTTTACATCTTATTTTATCTGATCATCACAAAAATTCCATGAAATTGATACCCTTATAATTCTTTGCAGTGTTCCAAGATAACAAGAAATATTACTGAGCTCAAATTCTGTTCTTTCCAGTCTGCCTAAGTGACAAGGGAGATTTAATTGCCTTGTAAATTGGATCTGCTCAATATTGTATAGATTGGAAAAGACTAATAGATTCCTAGTAGTTGCCTATAGATGTGTTCTGAAGCCTCATTGCCACTGATGCTTTTCCTCTGAATGGGCCCTTGCGCTTTAGTCTGAAGTAGTGCTGCCAAACATATTCCCAGAAAAACTAAAGATACTGTTTTCATGCTTCTCTGCAAAGATTTACATATTGCTTTTTGCAGATCTATTGCTATATTTTAAGTTTCAATTCCAGGCTCATAAAATAAATTCCCTATTCTCTGGAGAATTGGGCTTCTCAGATTAAGCTACATTCCATAAAGATACTGTGATGCACAGTCACTTAGGAGTAAATATTTATCCCAGGTAAGTCATAAAAATCTTCAATTCACATCTCTAATTCTAGATGTGTAGCAGGTTCCCTTGCACCCAGCCCAGGAATTTGCCTGCAAAAGGAAGACAAGTGGAGATTTTACCAACCTACTCCCAGAGCAGAAATAGAATGTCAAATTACAAAATGTATAGAAGGATGCTTTGACTAATATGGCATATAATATAAATGCAGCATACTCTGTAAATAAAATTAGTATTATTTATATTATTAGTGATACTAATTAATGGAGAGGTCTGTACTATCTTCAGCTTTTATAGTCATGGGCTTTCAGAATTTCCATTATCATCCTAGGTTCTTAGCTCAAAAAGCCTTGTTTTATTTCAAACCAAGAGTTTATGTGGACCAAGCACCACTATATACATCTTAAGCATATCTGAGTTTAGAAAAGCAAAGTACAGATTATAAATGTAATATGATGTGTGAAATACCTACCATGATATGAAATAATGATTGTTCTCTCTAGATGATCCAGATGGCCTTCATCAACTAGATGGAACTCCTTTAACGGCTGAAGACATTGTCCATAAGATTGCTACCAGGATTTATGAGGAAAATGACAGAGGAGTATTTGACAAGATTGTTTCTAAACTGCTGAATCTGGGCCTGGTAAGTTGTATGAAAGAAAGTAAATCAAATCTTAGCACAGTTTGGAGTATGCCAAGAAGCCAAGCCACTTGACTCAAGTAGCCAAGTGTTTATAAAGCATCTACTTTGTAGTGGGCACCATCGTTCTCCCTTGAGGTATTTACAGTCTGTCAGAAGAACTAGACAAGTATACACACGGCCATAATGCAAACTGCTAAAGAGCCAGTAAGAACATTGCAGGATGCCAGGAGTGGCAGTAAGGAAAGGCTACAGAGGTAGAGGTGTTTGAACTGAGCTTAAAAAGGTAGTTAAGATATAACTAGCAAAGTTAGAAGGTGTGTGTGGCAAAAAAGGAAATAACAGGAGCAAAGACATGCAATGCATGAAGTAAGCTAATTTCAGCCAGCCTCAGCTTGATACCATAGCTCTGGCAGGTTTGAGTAAGGTGATATCTTTGCAGAGTTTCAAAGTTTACCTGACTATGACATGCAACTGTGGAGGAGCAACTTTTCAGGTGTTTCTCAAAGTAAGTGTTCCATGAGTTTCAACAGGCAGGACTGACAGTTTGCGTGGTTGGCCCAAAGATATGTCTTCCCAGAGTGCTGGGCAATTACTATAGCAGCTGGCATGTAGTAGGGTAATAGGAAGGATTGTCCAGAAAGAGAATTCACAAGGTTCCTATTTTATTTTATTTTTTGTACAAGGAATTGAACCCAGGAATGTTTTACCACTGAGCTATATCTCCAGTCCTTTTTTTTTTTTTTTAATCTTGAGATAGGATCTCACTAARTTGCTGAGGCTGGCCTGAAATTTGCAATACTTCTGACTCAACCTCCTGAGTTGCTAGGATTACAGATATGCACCAGTGCACCCAGAATGATACTTCTTTTAAAAATTTATGTTCAACTGCAAAGTTTAATCTAGATTTTTTTTAAATCACAAGAATGGGACTAGCAGTTCATATATTTTGCCTCTTATAACAGATCACAGAAAGCCAGGCACACACACTGGAAGATGAAGTCGCAGAGGCTTTACAAAAATTAATTTCAAAGGAAGCCAACAATTATGAGGAGGAGCTTAATAAATCCACCAGCAGGACTGAGAATCAGGCTGGAAAAATACCAGAGAAAGTGGTATGTATATGTGTATGTTGTGTGTGTGTGTTGGTATGTGCATGTGCATAGATGTGTGTACTTGGATCTGTATATAATTCGTCCTTCCTTGATGCCAAAGAAGATTTGAAGTATGTGACATTTCTAGCCCACTTAAAATGCATATCCATAAAATGCTAATAAGGTAAAAGATATGAATGAATTTTACTTGGAAAATAATGTAAAGGTTACATATTATTTTCTATTTATAGTAAAGGTTACATCTTATACCACACTATAAAATAACACATCATGTATAAAATAACAATATCACATAATATCTATTTGTATAGTCCCAGTATACTAGACCCAAAAATCTCACAGCATTTTTAGTATTCATTTTTTTTTCAACAGGGTCTTTTTGTTGTTGTAGATGAATACAATATCTTTATTTTATTTATTTATTTTAATGTGGTGCTGAAAATCAAACACAGTGCCTCACATGTGCTAGGCACGTGCTCTACCACTGAACTAATACCCAGCCCTGATATTCAATTTCTATTCATAATGGATGTCATGATCTGCTTCACACACACACACACACACACACACACACACACACACACACATACATACACTGTGCCAAAGAGTGTGTTGATTCTATCCTGTGCCACAGAAGAACAGTCCTACATCCCCCAGCCTGATGTTGCCTCCCTATTCTAGGCTGTGCTCTTCTACCTGCTCTCCCTTTCATTAGTTCAGAAGCCTGTCTGTCATCCTTTATCCACACTAGCCATTCATCCTTCCCTTTGATGGACTCCTTGCCTTTTCATTTTTTCCTTGGCATCAAAACTCTAATTGAATTTGACCACAAGAGAATATCAAACTCTTCATCTCTCCCTTGACTTTCTTCACCAAGCACCCAGACCCATGGCCCCTTTTCTCCTCCAACGTCCTATCTAAAATAGGATGGTGGTGGTTCTGTTCTAGAGAGGTTAGAAAATAGAAATTTGGGGGCTGGAGTTGTGGCTCAGTGATACAGCRCTTGCCTAACATGTGTKAGGCACTTGGTTTGATCCCCAGCACCCCCATAAAATAAGTAAATAAACATAAACAAATAAAATAAAGGTATTGTGTCCACCTACAACCAAAAAATATATATTTAAAAAAAAATAGAAATTTGGTCTGGATTTTTCACTAGATGGCCTAAAAATTTCCATCTCTCTCCCTACTTCCAATCCCCACTATCTGTCGTCTATAAAAATAGCTTTTAAAGATCCACCCACTAATGAATGTAAATGTGTTTTATAGATTTATCAAAGAACTCACAACTCAAGCTTAAGGGTCTGAACTGTCATGATATTTTCATGGTCCTACAATCCCATTCCATTCATTCACCACTAAAATGTCCATATGCTTGACTTGTTCACTTGTGTTATCTAAGTGCATCARTGCAAATGAAATATTCTTTCAACAAAGATTTATTGCATACTAACTATATTACCAAGCACTGAGAATACCCTGCTCATTTAAAAAGGTGTAATTCTTTTTCCAAGGAAGGTTAAGGTCTAGTGGAAAAGGCAGATTGTTTTCAAATAATCATCATTTTAATCACAATTGCAGTAAGTGCTCTGTAGAAAGACATGGTTCTATGAGACCTTATAAAAAAAGGAAACTGTCCTGCACTTAGGCTCAGAAAAGGCTTTCCTCAGGAAGTAATTTGAGCTGAGTATTGAAGGTCAAATACAGGWTAGCATGTAAACATAAGAGGCAGCATGCAGAGAAGGAAGTATGGAGTATCCAAGCAACTGAAACAAGGACAGTGTGACTGATACAGCAAGAGGGTAGTGACAGCTGAGATGGGGGAGTGGACCCAGACCAGCCCATATAGAGCCTTATGAACCATGGATGGTTTCTGATATTTTTGTAAGAGACATGGGAAAACACTAAAAGGTTATTTGGTAGCATTTTCTATTGCTGTGACAGAATACCTGAGACTGGGTAATATGTAAAGAGCTTTATTTAGCTCAGTTTTAGAAGCTGGAAAACTGAAGATCAGGCCATAACATCTAGTCAGCTTCTGATAAGGCTTCAAGCTGCTCTCAGTGGTGATGGAAAAGCAGAAGGACAAGTAGGCGTGTGAGCAAGAGAATGAGAGGAAATGCCAGGCTTACCTTCTAATAACCTGCTCTCACAGGAACTAAAGCATTTCCATAAGAACTAATCCAGTCTCAAAAAAACTAAACCAGTCTTACAAGAAAAATATTAATCCATTCATGAGGGCAGAACTCTTATGACCTAATCATGTCTTTAAAGCCCCACCTCCTATCACCTCTACATTGGCAGTCATATTTCAACCTGAATTTTTGCAGGGAGAAACCACATCTAAACCATAACAGATTTTAAGCAAAAGARCTATGTGATCCAACAACTAAAAAGATAACTCTGGCTGCAATATGGAAAATTCAGTGTTGAGAAGAGATTTTAATGGGTGGTGTACCAGTTAGAAATGAGAGATCCAAGGCTGCTTGAGATAGTGGAGAGAGAAATTTCAAATTTGCCATAAAATTTGAAAGGAGGGTCAACATGGCTGCTGATAGAAGTGAATTTGGAAAGGAAGAAGAGCTAAGAAAAGCTCTTAGATTTCTGTGTAGTCCACTGAACAGTGAATTCACTAAGATGGTGAACACCAAGAAGAAACAGGTCTAGGGAGAAAAAAATTTTATGCATCCATCCCGACAGCTCCTAAAGTATCATCCAGAAATTCCCAAATGTACTTGTTGTGCTCCTGCTAAACATTCTGAAAGGCTTTCCTGTAACTGTACCACCCCCTTGCTAGAGTGTATGAACAATTTGAATTAGTCCTCAAGGAAGGGCAATTTTGTGAAGAGAGGCTCATGAGGATTCCTAGAGGGGGAACTTGGCTGAGCAGGACCATTGAAGATTTCCTGTCTCTTCTCCCCTGAACAGGAGCCAGAGTCTTCAGGGGGTCTTCCTCAAGGGAGAACACCTTTTTCAGTTTCCATGTAACTGWGATGCATGCATGCCAAGAAATAAGTTTGAACCCACAGGGATTTGAGAAAGAGGAATGCATTTCACAGAGGAATCTGTGCATTTCATGTTCAAGGGCACCATAAGGAAAAGAATTAATCTGGAGTTGTGTTGATTSTAACCAAAGGCTTTTGTATGTGTGTGTGTGGATTTTTTCCCCCTCACTGGAGACTCCAATGGCAGCAATTCAGGATGGTTTTAATAATGGAGAAAATGATGAAACAGTGTCTAACACCTTAACCTTGACAAATGGCTTGGAAAGGAGAACTAAAACCTATGGAGAAGACAACTTTGAGGAACTCCAGTATTTCCCCAACTTCTATGCACTACTGAAAAGTATTGATTCAGGTAACCACTATGTTTTCTGACCATGCAGAGCATAAATAGTAATTCTAGGAAGTGTGTGGGTGGTTTTATAAGTTCCTGTTTTCAGTTTCCAATTGTAATCCTCAATGACATACACTGTAAGCTTAGGAAAAATAGTTCACATCAGTTTTATTTATTTTGGTTTTTTTTTTTTCCAAAACAAGCATTCAAGTAATGGAAATATTTAGGAAAGGGTACTCAGGAAAKGTAGGGTTTCTGGATAATTTGATCTTTTTGTTAACAGAGCACTCCTATATTTGTTCAGCAAACAATTATTGAACATCTGCTGTGTACACAGTACTAGGAAGAATCAGGTGCAGTTATGGTGATTAATCAGTGTTCCTGCCCTGACCCAGTTCAGGCACAATTCTTTATATTTTTTAAATTTTTTAGTTGTTTATGGAYACAATATCTTTATTTTATTTTATTTTATTTTATGTGGTGCTGAGACTCAAACCCAGTGCCTCACATGTGCTAGGCAAGCTCTGTACCCCTGAGCTATAACCCCAGCTCAAGCTTCAATTCTTATTGTAACTTTTGTTTTCAGTTATATTGAGGTGTAATTGGCAAATAAAATTTATCTTTAGGATGCACAACTCGATGTTTTAATATATGTACACATCGTGAAATGACTACAATCAGGCTAGTTAGCATATCTATCTTCTCACATAATTACCACTTTTTCTTCCTTTTCTTTATTCTTTTCTCTCTCTCTCTCTCTTGTTGTTGTTGTTGTTGTTGAGATAAGAGCACTTACAATCTAGCCTCTTAGCAAATTTCAAGTAAAGTTCAATATTGTTAACTACAGTAACCATGCCGTATAGTCTCCAAACTTATTCATTTTCTATAACTTAAGCTTAATGTCCTTTGACCAACAACTCCTCATTTTTCCCTTCTCCTATCCCTTGGCAACCACCATTCTACTGCATCTATGAGTTTAACTATTACAAATTCCATACACAGTTGTTCCTTCAGTATCCTCAGGGGGTTGGTTCTAGAATCACCCTCAGAAATCAAAACCCACAGATGCTCAAGTTCTTTATGAAACAATGTAGCATTTTTATATAACCTATGCATATCTTCCTATATGCTCCRAATCATCTCTAGATTACTTATAATACTGAATAAAAAATAAAGCTATATAAATTATTATTATACTATATTGTTTGGTGAATATTGGTAAGAAAAAAATCTATACATGTTCAATAAAAGACATAATTCTTTTTCTTGGATAGTTTCAATCCCTGGTTAAATGAATCCATGAATATAGAACCTGTAAATACAGAGGGCCAACTATGTGAGATCCTACAGTCTTTCTGTGCTCATTTCACTTAGCATAATGTTTTCTAAGTTCATCACATTATCAAAACCAAAATAAGCAAACACAACAATAAGGAAACCTGCCACTTTTCAGTAAACCTTTTTTAAAAGCTTTCTTCATTTTCCTCTCTTAGTGGGAAGTGTGTATGGAACCTAATTCACCCTTCTTTAGATTACTGAAGACATTGCCTGATAGACATATTCAGCTCCCGCCTTCAGATGAGTTAAAATGGACTTTGGATGAGAGGAAGCCAGAAGCACAAAACACATTTGGGAAACTGTTTTGTTTTTAAACAAAGTCCTTATGTGTCCTCATCTCCTCTCTCATATGTGCACTGAGTTAACTGGAAGATTTTTGGTCCATGATTTTTTTTTTGTTGTTGTTGTTGTTTTTGTTTTGATTAATTTGTAAAGAGGATAATAATGTCCAACATTTCTGTTGTTATTGTTAAGACAAATGCCCTGCAGTGCCTTAATGGCTTTTCTTTGCCCTCTTCAAAAAATGCAGGCCCCCATTGAACATTTGTATAAAGATTTCTCTCATTGTAATCTATTTCCCTGAAGAAAGGACCTCAAAGTGAGCTTTCATTCCTGGAGAACATCCTTTGTCCTTCAGTTCCAGACATTGGCCAGATGGTACTGGCCCCTCTGCCAGTGTCTGTAGGGGTGGTATGTCTTGAGTGTCCGTTCCAAGCCATCTTGCCCCATTGGTTGGCAGATGCCCAACTGAGAACCTCTGTCATCCTGGTGAGTCACTTCTCATCAGTGTAGAGCGTTGGCATGATACCAAATGTACAGAGGTGACCTGGAACAAACCATGTGATTGCTGCAATTATTTACCAGTTCTTTCCCAGGATCTCTCCCCTACTTTTTCTATCACATTTCTTCCTTCCCTACCTACGAGTTTTTTGATATTTAAAAAATTCCACTTCATGGAATATTCCTTATTTGTTTTTATCTTTTAGTTTATCTGATTCCTTATTGCCTTTATTTTTCTATAATCTTAATTTAAATACTTATACTGACGTCTTTGCTAGTACCTGTCTTCCKCACCCAAGGTCCTGAACCAATTGAGAAATAAAAAACAGATAGAAAACCAAAATGTCATTTCTGTTACTGATAAACCCTGGGTTATAGTTTTGTATCCTTTGACCAACATCTCCTTATTCCCATCTCCAACTGCCTCAGTATTAAAGAATGCTAAGAGAGTAGTTGTTAGTTACAACTACTGTTACAAAGATGATGTTCCTGTTACAAAGATGATCACTATGTGAGTTAATGCATATCTTAGTTAGATTTAATCATAAGGTGTCTGTGTGCTTCAAGGCATCATGTTGCACATGATAAACACATACAGTTCTGTCAATTTTAAAATTCAAATTTGGAATATATAACACTGTGGAAAAAAGAGGGTCCAAATCCCCACCGTTGAGAAAACTAGACTAATGGCTATTACCTAACAATTACATCTGATGGGAGGATGGGAAAAAAATGGCAAGAGGCTAGGAATATTTGGAGAAAATTTTTCATGGCAGCTAAAATGAGAGAAAAAAATGGACTCCTTTCTAGATATTGTTTTTTTTTAACTTCAAAAATGGAAAAAATATTTTTTCTGATTTTAGAATTAATATATTTTCTGAGCTACTCATGGTATCAATGGCCATCTTGTTCCATTAAGATGCAGAACAGTATGTCAAATACCATAGGTTCCCAAGAAATTGCTAATAGTGGTTACCCGTGGCAGGGGTGAGAAAGAGATTGCTACTTTTCACTTTTATTTACTGGTGGATCATTGGAATATTTTTACTATCTGTATATATTATTTCAAATGAAAAAAAAAAGTTTAAAAGCAATGTAAGCTACTGTTAGAAAACCCAACTTACAATTTTTTTAAAAGTGCTTTTAAGAAAATTAAGCCTAATTAATGAACACAAATCATTCTTACCTTAGAAAACTTACCACTTACTTAATCAGTCCTCTACTCTTCCATTTGGGTTCATGTCATCTCAGGTTGAAAACTGCCTCTTTAATACTTATTAGTGCAGTATTTTAGATTAAATTAAAGCTTCATGGAAAAGTTATTATTGCCCATTTCTAAAAAAGTTTGGTATAGCTGTACATTGCCCTGAATTCCAATCAAGCCCTAAAATTTCATAAGTTAAATATGTATGGTTTTAGCTATAAATGTAGAGAGAAATATTTTAATAAGTGCTATATACTTCARCTGGGTGCAGAGTCATACACCTGTAATCCCAGTGGCTCAGGAGCCACAGGAGAATTCTGAGTTCAAAGTTAGCCTAAGCATGGGTAAAGTGCTAAGCAACTCATTGAGACCCTGTCTCTAAATAAAATGCAAAATACGGATGGGGATGTGGCTCAGTGGTTGAATGCCCCTGAGTTCAATCCCTGGTACCAGAAAAATAAATAAATAAATAAGATGCTCTGCTTCATAAATTGACACTGAGCTGTGTGGTGGTGAATGCCCAGTAGTAACTCAGGAGGCTAATGCAGGATTGCAAGATTGAGACCAACTTCAGCAATTTATTGAGGCCCTAAGGACTTGGTGAGACCCTGCCTCAAAATTAAACATTGAATCTGGGTGCAGTAGAGCACACTTGTAAATCCAGCGGCTCGGAAGTTTGAGGCAGGAGGATTGTGAGTTCAAAGTCAACCTCAGCAAAAATGCAAAGTGCTAAGCAACTCGGTGTGACCTTGTCTCTAAATAAAAAATACCAAAAAAAAAAAATAGGACTGGGGATGAGGCTCAGTGGTTAAGTGCCCCTGGGTTCAATCCCTGGTACAAAAGATAAAAATAAAAAATTTTAAAAATTAAATATTGAAAAAAGCCTGGGGATGTGGCTCAGTAGCTAAGCATCTCTAAGTTCAATCCTCAGTACCAAAATTTTAAAAATAAAATAAAATAAATTGAAATTGAAAAATCTAGCTATTCTCTACTGTTTCCTTTGAGTTATTTTTGTCTTTTTACATAGAAAAAGAAGCAAAAGAGAAAGAAACACTAATTACTATCATGAAGACATTGATTGACTTTGTGAAGATGATGGTCAAGTATGGCACAATTTCTCCGGAAGAAGGTGTTTCCTACCTTGGTGAGAATCCTATCTAGTTTGTTTATACTATGGTATTTTTATTATTCAAAGTAAATTTGGAATTTGATGACAATTCCCTCAATAATTTGATTATTTATGCCAAACAGCCCAAATCACTTGATAACCAGAAGTGCCCAGTTTGATGACACCTACAAACCGAATTAACCAGAGTTTTCAACTCCTTATAGATCTAAATTGAGTACAGATATTTCACATTTATCATATTTAATCCTATTCACATTTTCTAACAATCTCCATGATGGCAATCATATTACAATTTAACTTATTAGTTTTTTTTTAATTGTGTTTGGAAGGCTGGGACTAACAAGTCTTGATTTTCCCCTTTGAAGACTGTATGGTGAGGAGGAAGGAGCACTGGCCTTGGTGTCAAGAGGAGTCCTGACTCCTGGGTCTATCTCTGTCAAGCTGAGGAAGGCACTGTGCTGTGCTGGGCCTCACTTCCTGCATCTATAAAATGAAGGACTGGGGTGAGCTGGGTGCTGTGGCAGGAGGATCACAGGATTAAGGCCAGCCTTGGCAATTTAGCAAGACCTTGTATAAAAAAAATATATATATAATATATGTGTGTGTATACACACATACATACACACACACACACACACATACATACACACACACACACACACACATACATACACACTCTAATATCATTCATGGATCAAATCCAGCCCAACATCTATTTTTGTATAGCACACAAGCTAAGGACTTTCACATGTATACATGATTGGAAAAAACATCAAGAAGAACAGCATCTCCTCATATATGAAAACTGGATAAGATTCATATTTCCACGTTCATAAATAAAGTTTTATTGGAACATAGCCATTCATTTGTTTCATGGCTGCTTTCCTGCTACAACAGCAGAGCTGAGTAGCTGCTACAGACTGTATGGCCTACAAAGCCTAAAAGATCTGACTCTTATAAAAAAAGTTACCAACACGTGATTCCTTGAATTTATAGATAAACAGAAAAATTTTGATGTTACATACAGGTTGTTTTTGTAATTAATTAAAATTAAACATAATTTAAAATCAGTCTTCTCAGTTGCACTAGACATTCTCAGTTGTACATTGCAAATACTCAATTTTTGTTTGTTTTTAAAAAGGACTTTTGTCAACAAATACCTTTCATCCCCAATGTGGTTTGGGCAGGAAGACCTCATGGCTCCTTACTCTGAGTGGAGAAGGATAAATAAATGGAGGAAGAAATCTCATAGGGAAACTCAGAATTATGCTGCATGAACTCCACTTTTTCTACATGAGAATAGTTTTACTGATTTTTTTAATTATAAATGAGCATATTTATTTTGAAAAATCATTCAACACAAAAAGAAATTTAAAAGGAAATGAAAATTTCTAACAATGTCAACATCCTGGTAACATTTTGGTTTATATACTTTTAGATGTTTTTCTCTCTGTGTGTATATACACCTATGTAATTTCTTTGTCTTAACAAAAAATGAGTTCAGATTACACACAGTGCGTTGTGGCCTACCCTAGTCCTTTACCAATAAAACAGATATTTTCAGACCCACAACTATCTTATATCAATACATAAGATACAGACACAGGAATTCCTCATATTTGTTCTATAGAAATTCATCAGGGGTGCTGGGGTTGTAGCTCAGTGGTAGAGTGCTTGCCTAGCATATGTCAGGCACTGGGTTTGATCCTTGGTAACATATAAAAATAAATAAATAAAATGAAGATATTATGTTCATCTACAACTTTWAAAAAGTAGAACAAATTCATCATGGATGCTGCAAAGGCTTATGTGCAAGGCAGGTGTTCCTACTGCTTCTTACTACAATATGGTGGCCACCAACCACAAGTTGCCATTTAAATAAAAAATTAAAATCTAGTTTCTTAGTTACACTAGGCACATGTAGCTAGTGCTCAGTTATCACATGTAGCTAGTAGCTAATGTGTTGAATGGCACAGAAACGAATACTTCCATCATTGCAGAAAGTTCTGTTGGGTGATATTGGTTTATAGGAGAAAGACTAGATGTTCCACAAGAAGAAAATATCTAAAATAAATAATTTACTTATTTTTATCTTAGACTATTAAKATTTTATTTTAAATACTTGTGTTTTCAAAATAATTACATTTATTATATGTTTGGTGACAAGGGAAAATGTTCATGATAAAAATATCCTAATTTTGGAGTTAAAAATGGATATATAGCTTGGTGTGGTGGTGCAAGCCTTTAATCCCAGCGGCTTGGGAGGCTGAGGCAGGAGGATGGCAAGTTCAAAGCCAGCCTCAGCAATTTAGTGAGGCCCTAAGAAACTCAGCAAGACCCTGTCTCTAAATAAAATATTAAAAAGGGCTGGGGATATGGCTCAGTGGTTAAGCACCCCTGGGTTCAATCCCTGGTACCAAAAAAAGGATATATAGTCAATACTATTAAATGTTGTATGTATGTTATGTTATGCTTTATGTTAAAATGGCATGTCGGTTTCATTCCTCAGTGCCTTTGTTCTCATTAATTTTCCCTTCTTCTTTCTCTGCTTTGGAACTTATACTCACATAATTAAAAAGTTCACACACACACACATTTGTATATATGGATACACACACCTATAAGGTTGAAAGGAAATATACCAAACATCTCTGRGCATAATAAGTGTGACTTTTAGAAATGATTTTCTGTAGCTGGTGCAGTGGCATATATCTATAGTCCCAGCTACTCTGAAGGCTTGAGCCCAGAAGTTCAAGGCCAGCCTAGACAACATAGTAAAACACTATCTTTAAAAAACAAACAAACAAAAAACCCTGTTTTCTTAACTTTCTCCAAAATATATTTAACTCTTACAGTCAGAATATAAGCTGTATTTTCAGGTATTGTTCTGTGTTAGCATACTGATTTTTGGCAGATAACATGGGACTCCATCTCCAGGTCCCTGAGTGAGGGCAGTATGGGTACAAGAGAGAATCAACCAGCCTTTTCTCCTGACCTCTGAGCCAGTGACAAGCAGGGATTTAGCATTCTGTTCTCGTCCCTCAGTGTATGGTGATTACAAAGCTTGTCAGCTATCGTTACTATTTCAAAAAGAAGAAAACAATGCATTACACAACAGAATAGACTACTTTTCTACTCTAAATAGGAGTGGGGTGGGAGGAGTTTATTTGAAGAGAAATTATACCAAATACTRATGGAATTTTTACCGACTAATTACAAATGCTTCTTTGCAAATGGCAAAAAAAAAAAAAAAAATCTATCCTAAAAGAGCAAGTGTGATATGTGACTGGTTGAATATTGAAGTGCCTAGGATGTGGATTCTAACTCATTGTCTACCTGGTGGATGTCAGTCTAGACACTTCATGTCTAATAAAACTTATGTGATGTTACTTCAAAGAGCAAAATTAGAACTTACTAAATTTTTTTATATTTAGAGAATATTAGTTTCTGAAATCAAATCCACATAGATAAGACCTTACATATTTAATACAGTGTGTTACCCCGATACAAATGGAAAAAAAATGTTTAATGTTTCTAGACCAATATAGTTGTTAATTTCTGTACAATGCCAACTTAACACAGTAAACTGGGATACTTTTTCCAAAGTTGACAGCACAGTTAAAGTTTCCAAAAATTCAAATTTTATATTTATATTTATATAAAAAGACTAAGAGTAGCAGTATGTTATGCATCAATAGCAACAACAGCTTTTCCAGGTAGAACTTACTAATTTTGAACAAGGATACAGATTTCAGCTTAGTATGAGTAGGAAAATTGACAATTTGGGTATGGTGGTGTACAACCATTATCTCAGCTACTCAAAAGGCCGAGGCTAAAGGATCACAAGTTTAAGGCCAGCCTCAACAACTTAGTGAGACCTTAACTAAAACTAAAAAATAAAAATCTGGGTATGTAGCTCAGTGGTAAAGTGCCCCTGGGCACTTCATCATAAAAAGCAGAATCATAAAAGTCCCAGTATCATAAAAGCAAACCAAAGCAAAAGACTACCTAACAGTAAAGCTAGCTGCCTCCTTATACAAGGCCCTAGTGAAGATCCTAAATGACAGGAATTCAACTGTTTGGCTAAAGCAAAAAGGTAATTTATGGCCTCGGGTAACTGAAAAGTTAACCAGGGTTTGGGGGTTAGTTTGACTTTGAGTTTGTGAAGTCCATGAGTAGTTGATTCATTGCAGACAGGCTGCTCCCTGTGGGAAATAGATGCCTGGGACAGCCCTAATCTAATCTTAACATCTTCATCACATAGCAATCCCTGTGGAAAGAGAGCCACCTTCTCTCAGTGGTCCTAGCATCGAGTCTCATGGACCTAGATTGAGTCAAGTGTTCATCGAATCAGTCACTATTGATCAGGGTTATGAAGACCCTGGTTATCAGGAGTGGGTTACCCAGTCACCACTGTAGACAAGATTTCTGAGATTGAGAGAACACTGGGTTTCCCAAGGGAAAATCTAGGTACAGTAACCACAAGGTATTATGTAGGTCAAAACCACAGGTGTCTACTTTTGGTGTCAACCCCGGAAGTACTCTAGTAGTGGCCACAGAGATGCAGAAGAAACTTCTGCAATTAACTGAGTAGAAGGAGGAACTTGAGAATCTCAAATGAAATGCCTTACATCCTGAGAATCTATGATTCTTGGGAATAAAATAAGGTCAAATCACCTTGCTAGCAACATTAATATTTTGGAATTGTTAGTGTGATATTTCTGGTGAGATTTAAACATTTTTAGTAAAACTTTGATATCATCGCTCAGGAAATTATATTTCTTCTCCTCCTTTCTCCAGAAAACTTGGATGAAACAATTGCTCTTCAGACCAAGAACAAGCTAGAAAAAAATGCTACTGACAATAAAAGCAAGCTTTTTCCAGGTAGGATATATTTAAAAATATTTTTCCTATAATAACTTAGCTTTTAGAAGAATAATCCTTTTGCATGATAAATAATTTAATACATATCAGCACAGAATTACAGATTCCAAAAAGTCTTAAAATCTTAAATATAACCATAGAATTAAGTAAATATAACCTTGGGTATTTCGTGGTGCATCATGGCACAAAAATCTGATCTCAAAAAGCACTGAAAAGTAATGTAGGTCTTTACCAAAGATTCTCTGAGGTGGCTGGTGAAGAAGGAAAGATGGTTACATCACAAAACTGAGCAATGCTTTCTAAAAGTCTCTTTTAGGTATCTTTTTTTCTTCCCAGATCACCACTTTTCCAAAATACTGTCCCTGGTCATCTACCCGCCACCCCCACCCCCACACACACACACTGTCCTTCTCTCCCAGATCTTCTCTCTCCTCTGGGAAGGTCTGGGCCTCTATGTAGTACGACTTTCCTTCCTTCTCAGTTACTTAGTTCTATATCCTCCACCCACAACCCTCGTCAGCCCAGCAAACAAATACCATGGAGCTGAGCTGTGCAAAGAAGACTCCTTTCAAGGGGGGTGGATGGAGCAAAATGAGAAAGGACTGACAATTGCAAATTATTATACTTTAATATTGCCCCAATAGCAGAAATGGCGTACATATTTTTTTAAAAGAGAGAGAGAGAGAGAATTTTTAATATTTTKTTGTTGTTGTTTTCGGCAGACACAACATCTTTGTTTTGTATGTGGCGCTGAGAGTCAAACCTGGGCCGCCCACATGCCAGGCGAGCACGCTACCGCTTGAGCCACATCCCCAACCCAACGTACATATTCTTGATAGTATAATGTATGGCCCCTTAAGATGTTTTTTTTTTTTAATTTTAAAAGGAGAACTTTTGGTTGTTGTTTTGTTTGTAGCAGTGCTGGGGATTGAATCTGGGGCCTCATGCTTGCCATACAAGTAGTCTACCACAGAGCCACATCCCCAGCCCTCAAGCAGTTGTTTTGTTTTGTTTTGGGATTTGAACCCAGGGCCCCATGTCAAGCAATTTTTAATAAACTTTCTTAGAGACCAAAGCAAGGAACAAAATTATACCACAAATATGAAAAAAATCTATACACTTTTATATAATGCAGTGCACAAGGGAATATTTCACACAATACAAAAACCAATTTCTTCTTTCCTATAATAAAAATATTGGGTTAAAATAAGTTTGTTAGACAGCTTGAGTTTCCTGCTAGCTGTTTAAAAATTAATTAACTTATTTATTCTAATTTGTTATACATTTCAATTCATAGTACACAAATGGAGCACAATTTTTCATGTCTCTGGTTGTACACAAAGTAGAYTTACACCATTCATGTCTTCATACATGTACTTAGGGGAATGATGTCYCTGTCTTTCCTATCCCCATACTCCCTCTCTTACCCCTCCCTCCCCTTTGTCATATCCAAAGTTTCTCCATTCCTCCCATGCTCCACCCCTATCCCCATTATAGATTAGCATCTACTTATTAGAGAAAACATTCAGCCTTTTGTTTTTTGGGATTGGCTTATTCCACTTTGCATAATATTCTCCAACTCTATCCATATACCTGCAAATGCCATGATTTTATTCTTTTAGTGCTGAGTAATATTCCATTGTGTAAATATACCATAGTTTCTTTATCCATTCATCTATTGAAAGGCATCTAGGTTGCTTCCACAATTTAGCTATTGTGAATTGAGCTGCTATGAATATTGATGTGGCTGTGTCACTGTAGTATGCTGTTTTTAAGTCCTTTGGGTATAGACTGAGGAATGGGATAGCTGGGTCAAATGGTGGTTCCATTCCAAGTTTTCTAAGGAATCTCCATACTGCTTTCCAGATTGGTTGCACCAATTTGCAATCCCACCAGCAATGTATGAGTACACCTTTTTTCCCACATCCTCGCCAACGTTTTTTGTTGTCTGTATTCTTGATAACTGCTATTCTGACTGGTGTGAGATGAAATCTTAGAGTAGTTTTGATTGTTAGTGATAATTGTTTTCCAGTGGTTACCTACAGGTTGTAAGTTTCAGTTCAACACAGGATTGCTAGAAGGAATACAGCTACTTAATATAGTGAGAAGTGAGCAAATGTTACTCCATTTTGACAGCAAGATTCCAAATCTTTTCTTTACATTAGAATAGCCAGGGATAATGGAGCATGAAGAAAGGGTAAAAAGAGAGTTCTGCTTTATCCCCAAATCCTTGAGATTGGATAACTATAGTTATTCTCACTTGGAATCAAGACCACCAAATTCACTTTGGGACTTGGCATACCCGCACTTGATCATCAACACTGATTAAAGTTTACTTTAATCAAACAAGGCTGAGAGTGTGGCTCAGTGATAGAGCATCTACCTAGCACGCATAAGGCCCTGGATTCCATTCCAGCACTGGGTGGGGAAAAAAAAGGACAAATAACTGGGCTGAGCTTAGTGGCACACAAATCCCAGCTACTTAGAGGTTGAAACAGGAGGATTGCTTGAACCTAGGAGTTCAAGGCCAGCTTAGGCAACAGAGTGAGATCCCATCTCTAGTAAATAAAATAATAATAATCTATCCTTTAGTGATATTGCAGCGTAAGGGAAACAATGCTAAACTAGAATCTGGACAGCTGGAAGCGGGGGCCAGCTTTTTGTTAACTCAGTGGGTGATCTTAGGAATATCTCTTCCTTCTCTGGTCCTCAGTTTCTTCTGTGAAGCGAGGTAGAGGGTTGAACTAGATAATCACCAAAAAAAAAAAAAAATCTAACCTCAAATTGTACCGTTTCAATAAAGTTTATTTTTGCATTAGGAATTAATGCACGCATAGGAAATCATGCTGTAACAACAATGCCCAATCTGATTACAGTGCCATCAGAGAAGAGCCATGAAGAAACAGACAGTACCAAGGAGGAAGCCGCTAAGATGGAAAAGGAATATGGAACTTTGAAGGATTCCACAAAAGATGACAGCCCCAACCCAGGAGGAAAGACAGATGAACCAAAAGGTACAGAATTGACAGCTCTAGGTCGGCAATGAAATTGGGAAGCAAATTTCCTTAATTATTTAACAAGTGATTCCAACACAACAAACACCTTTAGGGACCTGGTAAAAACCACAAATCCAGCACATCGAATTTTCTTAAATAGCTTAAATATGTCTGTGCAATATAAAATTTACTTCTTCCCAGGATTTCAGAAGCTTTTCCAGGTACCCAAAGAAAAAGATTCATTGAGTATATAGGTTCTAAGTTGTCAGTCCCCTGATTTGATTTCAGGTCAGAAAAGAATATGGACCTCATTGTATAGTTCAATGGTCCAATTGCCTCCAAAACCCATATTTTTTATTACTAAGATTGAACCCGGGATACTTTACCACTAAGCTATATCCCCAGCCATTTTTGTTTTGAAACAGGGTTTCATTAAGTTATTGAAGGTCTCACTCAGTTGCTAAGACTGGCCTCGAACTTGCAATCCTCCTGCCTCAGCCTCCCAAGTTGYTGAGATTACAGGCATGCACCACCATGCCCAGCTGGATCCCCTGTGTTACAAAGTTATGTTGTTGCTTCATAGAAAATTTACATCCTTGTATCTCAGATACTCTTTTTCTGAAATCTTGTGTCTTTACCAGAAGCTGTGAACATGTGGTTCGAAACCTACCTTATCTTTTGGTCATTATGATACAGTGAACTCTTTGGTATAACTGGAACCCTACTTATGTCTTACCAATTTCTCATTAGTAGGTTCATGTAAAGGTTTTTTTCCCTGGGAGCTAACATAGCTAGGTTAGTGCTCTCTCTTGAGGCAGGGAGCTTGGCACCTAGATAATTTATCATCTGAAACCACATCATTGGGCTCTTTTTTCACTGGTTATTTTGTATAACCATCATTGTCAATGAATGAATGAACTTTGTTTATTCTTGCTGTGATATGATGTGAGACTACAAGGACTGGTCATGCTCATGATATAGCTCTTAATTTTGGAGCGATTACTTGGTCCACTTGTAAGTTCCCCACCCAGTCTCTCCTGCTTACACAAATAGACACACGTTCACATTCACACTTGATAATAGACCCATACTTAACAATGCCTAAATATGATCTAGAAAAAGAAACTAGCTATGTATTTAATACCTTGTAATTCAATAATAGCAAAAATGTACAAACTAATTCCCTTTTTTAAAATAACTACCTCCTTCATTAACACTTTATATTGCATTTTCCATTCCTGTAAGTTGTTGCAGTTGATGATAATTATGATGATGTGGAGATAGGTTAACTTGGGCAGTGGGATTCCCCTTCATTTCTCCTTTGTCTGCTTAGCATATCCTCTCTACTTTCTGACAACAGGGTATTATGGGCCCACTTCACACTTTCCTTTCACAAGACTTGAAACCAACTCCTGTTCAAGGAGTTCTAGTTCCTTCTTATATAAAAATATAGTTAGAGACTTGAACCTGGGTTTTATGGCTTCAAATATGTTGTGATAGGGCCGGGAATATAGTACAGTTGGTAGAGTGCTTGACTCACATCCCAAGGCCCTGAGTTCAATCCTTAGCACCATTTAAAAAAACAAAACAAAAAACAAATAAACAAAAAAACGAATAAATATGTTGTGATAGTGGCCAAAGTTGCTACTGCTGCTTCTATTTCAGCTGTTGGGGCCTTTTTAGAGACAGGCTGAAAATTTTTTTCTTCTTAATGTACAAGTTCATGTAGTTTTCCTAACTCATGAAGCTTTATATTACTGTAATCTAGCATGGATTTCATGAACCGTCACAATTTTCTTTTACATTGACAGGTGACATATCCACTCCAACTGTTTGGTAGTAGCCTGTGTGGAGAAAGGATATGAGTTTGCATGGGCTCAGTTAGAAAGACTTTGGGGATGATTAATTCATAATATTTGTCATGGGCAAGGGAAAGCAGAACTGGTAATAGCTGTGCCATATTTGAGGACCCTGTACGTCCACTCTGGATGAGTGATAGCTTTTTATAAATTGTGGTGAAATATATATAAAATTTACTACCTTAACTACTTTTAAATCTACAGCACAGTGACAGTAAGTATATTTACATTATTGTGCTACCATGAACACTAATCATCTCCAGAACACTTTTTACCTCTCATTTCTCCTCCCCCAGCCCCTCACAACCATGATTCTACTTTCTTTCTGTATAAATTTGATTACTCTAGGTACCTCACATAAGTGGAATCATACAGTATACATCCTTTCTGTGACTGGCTTATTGAAATTAGCATAATATCATCAAGATTCATTCATGTTGTAGCATATCAGAACTTCCTTTCTTTTTAAGACTGAATAATACTCCGATGTATTGGATGTATATGCTGTATTTTATTTATCCATTCATTTGTCTATGGACCTTTGGGTTGTTTTTACCTTTTGAACAATGATGCTATGAACATTGGTATACCAATATTTCCTTGAGGCCCTGCTATCAATTCTTTGGGATATATATCCAGAAGTGGAATTGTTGGATCATATGGCAATTCTACTTTTAATCTTTTGAGAAATAATCATACTGTTTACCATAATTGCTGTAACATTTTAAATTCTCACCAGCATGCACAGGGGTTCCAATTTCTCCACATCCTTACCAATACTTGCTATTTTCTGGTGTGTTTTCCCCTGCTCCAGTTTAGGTTTTTATACTAATGGATGTGAGGCAGAGGATAAGTGGTGAACTCTTGAAAGATAGCTAACCAGGAAAAGGGTAGCTCATGGCCTGAGAGAGAACCAGCATACAGCATGACAGCTCTCCCCCAGCGGATAGTCAGTAGGCCTCAGTCACCCCCTCTGACAGCAAGCCATGCACAATGATTGTGTTTCACTAGAACACAGCAGAACATAGGTTAGGTCCTTCATCTTGCTGAGGCGAATGTTCAGTGCTTAAGACAATACCTTATATTACTATGCAAAGATTCCTAGGAATAGATGCTGACAGATATCTTTGCTTTTTTTTTTTTTAAGAAAACATATAAAGTGTGAGGAGTAAAAATCTGTTCCCAGGATGTAGGCTCCCTATTTACCTCTCTTATTGTTTCTCTTGCTGAGAAAAAACTTTTTAGTTTAAGTAAGTCCCATTTGTTGATTCTTGTTATT